ATATTAAGTAATCCAAAGTATTCAGAATACGTTACTCTCATTGAGTAACGTAACGGAATACGTTACAAAATACATTTTGGGGCATGTAATCTGTAATCTGCAGTAGAATACATTTTAAAAGTAACCTTCCCAACACTGTTCCTAAGTGCACCCACTCAAAGTGACCTTCCATACGAGTTTACAGCAATTAGACACTTTGAAGCAAACACTAGTTAACATGGTTCACTTAAAGAACATTTCGAGTAGAGACCCCTCAAATGGAAACACTTGTGGTTTTCCTTTTTCCTTAATTCTACTATTTGGCGAATTCTTTATTTTGAATAGTTCAGAGAATCGTTGATTTATGTGTTAATAAGATGCCTCTGATTGAAACCGCACAAATCCTTCAACAGCTACTGGAGACAAAAGATGACAAAATACAATGGTGGTTGTATTTCTTAGTGCACCCACTCAAAGTGACCTTGCATATGAGTTTAGTCACGTTGAAGGGAACTAAGTTATATTTTTCACTCAAAATGGTTTGAAACTGAGACACTTTAAATGAAAACATTTGTGCTTCTCCTCTTTCTTTATTCTGTCTTTATCTTTGTTTTGGGCAATTCTTTATTTTGAATGGTTCATTGAATAGTTAATTTATGTGTTCAATATCTTTCAAATATTCAGAGAAGTCCTGTTGTCTTTCTTCAACGCTCCTGAGACCACCAAGAGGTGGATAACTGAGAATTTGATATGATATGATACATATCATACTTGACATGATACATATGCACTTTTCATTCCAAGCCAATAAGTAACTGGGAACCGTTTTCACTGTCAGTCAGTGAACTCAAGTCTCTTCTCCTTGCATGCAAGAGCATGCACATGTACAAATGCATGTACTGTATACTAATGTTCTAATAAATAATGTCATACTGTACACACGGTGCAAGTTTTTAATGGGGTAGTAGCAAATTGTGCTCCTACAAAATTTGCTATATGTAGCATCTACTGAAACAAAGCAGTATCTTACTTTTGGACGCTCTCCTGGAAAAGGCTTTTCCTGCTCCAATTTTGCATTTTGTCCTCAGAATGAATAAAGTTGAGCTTACCACTCAGTGTCTGTAGCTTAGGAATGGCCTGTTCTAAATAGAATGAGATCTCATTTGTGGGTATTATAGTATTACTCAACCTTTACTCACCACCTAAAAAAGATGGTTGTCCATAAAATTGGCACTAATTACTCAACCATTAATCCAATAGTTGTTTACAACTCTATACTCTATACTTCAATTGGCTTTTAGTTGCTTCATTGTGTGTGTGTGTGTGAATCCACCAATTCTAACTCAACTGAGCCATTTTTACATAAAGTCACTTTATTAGCTTTTACATATGTCTCTGAATAGAATAAGTAGTTTTATAATACCAAGAAGTCAAAAATAATAACCTATATATTTATAAAACTAAGTAGATTTACTACTCTTGACTTTTTAAAAACAAACAAGGTCTTTGATAATATAGTAGTATTTTCTGCCTTGTTAACCTTTCAACAAATCTAGAGACTCAGGGTGAAGAAGTTATACAGAATAGAGTTTGGATAACTGTATGTGTGTGGATGTCTTTATGTCGATATTACTGTGAGTCATTAGGTATGCACCAAGTAAAATGTTTTCCACACATCTGAGCAGTAACAAGAAAACAGATAGTAAGAAGCAAACAGTAGAAAACAATGGCTCAGTTCTGCCCTAAAGTGAAATCAGAAGCATTTCTGGTACTCTGAAACCTTTGATTGTGTGCATTTTAGCTACCAATGGGCAAATGAAAGTAGTGGTAAAAACTTCAAATAGTTTCAATTGCTTTCTATTTCATGTTGAGCAAAAACAGAGAGTTTATAAATAAAGTAAGGTATCATTGGGGCGAGAAAGTCTGTACTTAAATCAGTACAGTCTGGAACATATGTGTTAAGTGCTAGGATCTACAAGATGCTACTATGAAATTGCTAACGGAACAGTGAACAGTTAAGAACAGTAAAGAATGGCTGCATTATTCTAAATTCTATAATCTGTTCTTTAGTGTGTCCTTCCAAAAAAGGGCATGTGTAATAAAATGGGGGAAAGGGACAAGGAGCAAGTGACATTGAAACCCCAACAACTTTAAAAATTTATACAATAAACAAAGCTTGGCTTTTATATTTACCAACCCATAGTAGTTAATCCCTTCACAATTTGTTTTTGTTTTTTTTTTTTAGGGGG